CGATAAAGCACAAGCACTTGGATGGACATGGACAACCTATACTCAGTTGCCCAATCTAGACTCTAGAATTTGCATGTTCAGTTACCCTTTTCTTCCCCCTTCATGTTTCTTAAAGGGGAATTCCATCAATTTACAAATGAATACCAGTGTACTAGTCATATAAACTGGTGTTAATGTAAATTGATACTCATTATTACAGAAAGTAATCTTCATAGAATGTTTACCAGTGTGATATTTTAAGAAATGCTGTTTGTTGAAGTCGGTTGGTCGGTTGCCATGAGCCTCTGATCTCATTTCATGGTTCATGACCATTCATCACTGGCTGATGATAATACTAATAACCAGACATAAAGAGCCAAAACCCATGTTAGCTTTTTGGCTAATGTATCCTTCATATTTACAAACATGGACACATAACTTGTGTGGTGTGCCTTGAAGGCTGAATGAGCAGCCGACAAACATCCACCAGGGAAAAGTACACTGCTAACATAACTTTGTGGGCTACATAGCTAATTAGCTAATTAGACGTAGCACAATAACCAGATCAGAAACTTAGAGACTAAAGGAGCATTTCTGATTTATAGCTTCAAAGTTAATATTAGCAATACATTTCCTTCTCTCCCTTAACTATCTCCTGCCTTCACATCACCCTATCACAGATTTGATTCGTCCTCCTGCACTGCCTGAGGGTATTTCAGCGCTCCACAGATCTATTCAAATGTCATTCACTGAGAAGAAGTTTAAATTAGGAGATTCCTAAAACCCACATCCACAAAGTTGCTTTTTGTCCCCGTGGGGGACGTGCTCTCATAAGGATGTACCATATGCCTCTGCAGCTCTTGCTTTTATTAATGACCGTCTAGTTTCCCTTTCTCCCTGTTTTGTGATATATTATTCAACTCGCTAATATCTTGTTCTGTTCATCTCCCTGATGTTTTGTTAATAGCTTACTGCTCTCCCCGTCCTAACAAGTTTAGAAGGAGGAGTTTTAAAAGATGTGTCAAGCTCATTTGGCTCAGCTCTGACCCTCTCTGACACGTTTTCTTTCTCTCTTCCTGCTTCCTCCGTCTGTCTCCTCACTTAATTATTAACAGATTCCACTCACACATCTTGAATTGTCTGATTGTTCAAACAGAAAGATAAGAAGATGGGAAACAATAAAAAATTATATCAGACAGATACGCTAAAAATCTGACAAAGAGAGACAAAGAGAGAAAGAAACAGGGTTGTTGAGCTAATGGGCGGCTCCAAACGATGATGAGCTGATGGGGTGATCAAAGCTGTGTCTGGGAAAGCTGATGGAAAAATATTGTGTCTTTAAATAATTAATCAGATTGCCTAGAAGTGGACCCTGCTAGATTGGTGTTCAGAAGAACAAAGAGTTTTGGGTTTCACCACGAAAGCTGCCTGTTTTTACATGGACTCACGTGTAAGGTTGGGTACCATTCACATTGGAACCGGTACCTCAAATTTGGTACGCAACAGTACCTTTTTTGGTACTTTACGGTATCTCTATAATGATAAAAATCTAATTTAAATTGTAAAAATTAAGTCCAAACTCTTCTCACTCTCACTAATTAAGTTGTTGTTGCCTGACTTAAAGTTTCGTCGTACATGGAGGGTTCAACTTTGGCGCTGGCTGCAGGCGAGCTAACGTAAGCTGCAGCTGCTGCAGAGGACTTGGCTTTCAGGCTATCAAACACCTTACAACTTTACCCTCTGCAGCATTTAGATATATTTTGTGACCAGGTGTTTCCTCATGGTAGATGTCTTGTCCTGGCCACATAGTTACACAGTGTGCCCTGACTCAGTGTGACTGAGGCACTCTCTCTCTTTCTCTCTATACTCAAACTTAGTCTTTCACCCATATGCACTCTCAGGTACTGAAATTTGGCACTGATTGGTTTAACGTGAATCGTACTCGGTAGTACCGAATGAATTGGTAGCCATCCACATGCACATACAAGATACAAGATAATGTAGTTGACTTAACTCCCCTCCCCTCCAGGGACGTGAGAACTACTTTCATTCATGTGTTGTTTTACATTTGCTTTCTTTATTCTTAATGCTATTATTTCTGTCATTATTTGTTCATGTAGCATGACTAAATTTCAGTTTAGTGTCACTGTTTGAGTTCTTATTATTTTGTCATTCTCTCTCCCTCCCTTGTTTTGTTTCTAGCATGAATTGTGGAAAGCTTGTCCACCCTGACAAGCCCCTAGAGGCTCTCTCCAGGTAATGATCCCTCACATTGCTGCAAGAGCTGCTTTGGCTTCAGCTTCCCTATCTTTGAATGCTAGCGTGCTATTGTCAGTGACTAAAACCAGAAGTTGTTAGCAGTGGGTAAGTTCAAACAACAGTTCCACATCTGAAGAAAAACTATGCCAACCTGAGCAGTCAGATGAGAAGTCAATGTCAACATGTGTAGAAATAAAATTGTAAGAAACATGGTAGTTTTAGAAAGAATAGGGGCAGTATTTCTTGACAACGATTTATTAATTTACCCAGCATCTTCAGCTTGCAGGTGTTGCTCAGTTCGCTCTCTACAGATGCAGCTGCCTAGAATTGCCAGCTGGTCCATGACAGGCCCATGACAGGCCCATGACAGGTCCTCGCTTAACTGCATGGAATGGGAGAGGCTGGTACTGTAGCTTGTCACTGGTGTTAAAAGTCACTCATAATACCCCTACAGTTTTTTTTATTTATTTTATTTTAAAATATCTCTGCAAGATAACAAACCTCAAGGTTAAGGACTAACTAGTTTGTTGTTTAATGAAACCCCCTAAACCCCAAGTAAATGCAAATCCATCAAACTCATTGATCCTTTATCTGGTTTGTGCAAGTTAGAATCTGTGGCACTGACCATGGCTCTAAAATATCAGTGGCCAATCTCTGCTGTGTATCGATCCATGGCACTGTCCATGGTGCTGAAGTAACTAACAGTTTGTAATTGTGCTTTTTTTCTCTCAGTCCCACCGTTCTGTCAGTTTCCTCTTAGATCTGTAAACTATGTACAATAAATACCCAGTTCTACGCTATATTGTAGCCATACTCTAGTGTCACCTTCATGATCAAAGTGACTATTATGCTGAAAATACTCCCACAGACCAAGCCACCTCTGTAATAAATTAGGTTTAACAATTGGGCCATCCCCCTGTTTTAGGTAAATCTCTCCATTCACACTGCAGGCACAAGGGGCCAAAATCTGATTTTATTTATTTTTTAAATGTATTTGCTCATATGTGTCTCAGATCTATTTTTTATTTATTTATTTTTTACCTGTGATACAGGTATTTTTTTTTGTAATGCAGTAACAGTCATATCAGAATTCATAGATGGCCATTGGTCATGTGGGTCACTTCCAGACCTTGAACTGTTCACACAGGAATCTGATATAGACCATCATTGGCTTGCAGTGTAAACATGGCTACATTAGCTCGAACAGGGTGTCATAGCAGCTGCTCAGAAACTACAAATCTCCTTGAAATCTCCACTTCACCTCCTAAAACTGCATCCAATGAACATGTCATTGTGCGCATTCCTCAACAATAGCTCAAGCTTTGATCCTCTCAATAGACGAGATCTACCTGTACATTTTACTTTCATGACAAGTAAAAGAGATACTAAAAGACTGGCTAGTAGTTTCCACCTACTTCCCTTATTTTGAGCTAAACTTGCTAAACCTACATATCTCTGTACACAGAGATGATATTGATCTTCTCATGTGACTCTGTAAGACGACAAACAAAGTCAAGCTCTTTTGTTAATTTCAGTCCAATCGAATTGGTGAAACCCCCACTATGCTAGCAGTGAATAACACACTGATTCAAAATGTCAGGATGCGTTTTTCCAGCTTTGTCTTTAGCTCCTTTCATCTTTAATTCAAAGCTTTATTATCTGTTTGAGAATTATTTTTCTTCCTTATTTCTGCCTCTTGCTAACACTAAATTTATTTCAGACTCTGCGTGAACTGTCTGATGAGCCGCTGTGCAACACTAATGCAGAAATTATATTCTGGATGATTAATGTGTATGCCATGAGTTGTGTCTCCAGCAACAGCAGGGGAAGTTAAAGTTCCCTCTCTGAATAATAACCCTGTGTTGAATTTAGTAGGAACTAGCTTTTTTGTTGCCCTTCAAATCAAATTAAACCCCTTTTTTCCTTCATAAGTGCCTTGTATTACCTCTGGAAGGATGGAATGAAATCAGGTGTCAGGCTGCCACTGCGACTAAATGCACAAAGATGCCTGGTATTCTCTCCCAGTTGAAGCTTCAAACTATCTAATTGTGAACTGTGACTCATTGATTGAACCCAGAAACATAAAAGAAAGAGAATTCCATTACCGAGAAATGTAACTTATGTCAGTCTCACAGTAAAGGCAAACACGTTTCTGAGTAGTGATATCATAGAATTAGAGATCTGATTCCTTTTATCAAATGAAGTTCATATCACATGTTGTATTTATGATAGGGTCCGTTATTGATTTCTTTAAAGCTTAATTTCGCAAACGGGCTTATACTTAAAACAAGCGTTTATTTTTAATTTCCCCTCTTTTATAACTAATCTGATGTATATTTTTTGCTTGTTAATGTAAATTCAACACTTCCCCCATGTTTACCTGTTGCCTTGATAAATTCAGTATAATACTACATTTCCACAATTCTGTCAGTCCAACAACACTCAGTAAGACCAAGAGTGGTAAGTCATACTTACCACTCTGTATAAAAAGTAAGGAGTAATCCACACTACTCATTCTAGCTACCTTTGTTTTATAAGTCATTCAAGTGTTACCTGATTCAATTACTTTCTGTTGTATTTGACAATATAACGGAACAATAATTATGATTAAAACTGTGATAAAACTGATTCTCGAACCAACTGTATTGTTAATTACTAGGCATGAATTTCCTACCGTGTTTTATAATTGCCATGCTTCTGCCCATTTTTTCATGTCATTTTACTACCAACTATAATACCTATTCACTTTGTATCAGTTACTTGTTCAACTGCTTGCCCCATAGTTATGTGCAAAAAGGGCTTGTTTGAATAAAAACAGCATTTTTATAGTCTTTTCTACATTAAGAACTACTTTTAATACTAATTTCAATTCTTCATTTAAGACCTTTTCTAGTTCTCCAGATGTGGTGTGCTGATGTGTAGATTGTGGAAACGTGCATTGTAATGCTGTCATTAATCAAAATTAATGGAAAATCATTAGTATAAATTTGAAAGAAAAGTGGTCCTAAACAGCTCCCTTGGGGCACTGCTCTTACCTCAGAATAATTACTATTAAAGTATACTGTGTATTTCCTGTTAGACAACATCTGATCCATGCAGCTGCAGTTGGTTCAAAGCCATGAACCATTAAAATTATTGAATAACAAGTTATGATGTACTAAAATGCTACACTAGAATCCACCAATACAATTGTCTTTCTCATGTCAGTTTCTTGTCATCAGTTGCCTCAGTTAATGCAGTAGTTGTGGAATTGTGTGCCCCTCTTTCATACACAGTATTTAAATTGTTAGTAAATGAATGCTTCTGAATTTGTTATTCTTTCTGTAAATGTGTTCAAAATGTGTAGTAAACTTATTGGGCAGCCATTTTTCCTTCCACCCCAGTGTGATGTTACCACAGTGAAAAATTCCCTCTGACTGAAACCATAAGTGAGATAGTACAGAGAACGGATGTTTGAAATAGAGCTGAGTCATCAGTAACATCAGTCACATTCAAAGCACATAAACACGGGTGCTCACCGTGCTGGGGAAGCCATTCTGCAAACAAATGGATTGGGGGAAAATGTCCATTTTATTTCATTCCAGAGCTCTCTGATCCTGCTCAGATGGCTGAGTAACGGCCGGCAACGCCAGTGCTCACACAGACTGGATAAACAGAGCAGCTCAAGGACGGAGGGTTTTATGGAAGAAAGGTTAATAAAGACTAAGATAACCATGTGACTGAAAGATGAAAAGGCAGACGAGATGAGACAGTGGGATGGATGGAAATGACATAAAGAGGGGGAAAAGATTGGCGATCTGTGGGCGAATTTTTTTCTGTTAGTCACCCTGCCCTTGTTACTAGAGGCGAGTGAAGGCCTCATCTCTCACTCACAGTCAATTGGCCGGCAATCCAGTGTCACTGACAGGCCCACTAAAAGGGAGCAATTTCAGAACATCCACCTCTGGCAACAATGGTTCTCTGTTTTCTAAAGACTAAATGCCTTCACTTGCAGACATTGCATACACACACACACAAAATTTCATAATGAATGTATTATGACTCTGAATTCTTGAGCTCATCTGGTTAAGTCAGTAAGGTTGCCAGGTTGCTGTGAATAGAGAGACTGGTGTTTTAGCGCCCACATTGTGGGTGTCTTGGGTTTTTAAACGCATAGCAGCATGGACAGATATCAGAAACACCTCAGGTAATACCCTGCCCCTGGTGTAGCACATTTGGCTTTTGGTGAGACTTCCAGAGAGTTTGATCCAGCTCGTTGGTCATTTTTAGGCTGGTCCTCTTTGCTGCTTCAAGATCCAGTGCGTAGGATTCAGTGGCATCTAGCAGTGTAATTGCAGATTGCACCTCTGTCGCTACGGTGGCCTTGAAATGTGTGAAAAAAGCAAATGGCCGTATCTAGCGCTAGTGTAGTGTTTTTCCCATTCTGGGCTACTGTAGAAACATTGCTGTTCAACATGGCAGCCTCTGTGAAAGGTTCATTGTAAAGTGACAAAAACATAACGATTCTGATATTCAGCTGGTTATAAACTAATGAAAACATACATATGAATATTATATTCCATTTCTGATTTTTTTTTAAAAACTCCTAAATCTTGCACAGTGGACCTTTAATGCAGTTTTCGTGTCCTTTAGAATGCCCTCTTCATGTATGTGAAGATAACCGCACAACACAGGAACCTTTTCTGACAATCTATCACATTCTCTCGGTTCTACACACGAAAAGTGATGGAAGTAGTTTTGTGTAGAACAAAAAAGAGATAAGTTCAGATCCTGAGAATGTTCGCACCTCCACACACCTGACCAATCTTGACTGCCAGATTGTTTTTCAGAAAGTACTTTGTTTGAAGTAGTGATGCACATCTCCATGACTGTGGCTGATGCAATACATATCACAATGGTAAATGGACCTGTACGTGTATAGCGTACTTATATAGCGTACTTATATATACCTTTCTAGTATTCCGACCACTCAAAGCGCTTTTTACACTACATGGCACATTCGCCCTTTCACACACATTCACTCAGTGATGGCAAAGCCCATCAAACAGAAACTAACTCATTCATACACATTCACACACCACATACCAATGCCACGGCATCGGGAGCAATTCAGGGTTCCAGTATCTTGCTCAAGGATACTGTCGACAATGTGGCACCAGGAGCCTGGGATCGAACCAACAACCTTCCAATTAGGGGACGACCCGCTCTGCGTCTGTGCCACAGCCGCCCTTGCACAATGCAAAGATACATATGAAGCAAGTACCAATGTGGAACGATATGATTCACCCTTATTGCAGTGCGATTCAACACAATTTGATTCAACACAATGCAGTTCAACTTGATCCGAATAAGAAATAAGAATGCGATGGTGTGCAATTCAATATGGTAAAGATTGATTTTATTTATTTGGTTCTTCTTTAGCAGCCTGAGAAAGAGAGGACGAATCTATCTAAATATAAAATGATTGGTTAGATTAATAATAAAGGCATAGTGCCTCTACTAATAATTATATACAAAAAAGTTGCAAAGATGTTAGAAACAATGCATCCAGAGTTCATCACAAATTAACTCTGGTGTACTCTTTTAATCAGGGTGATCAAATTTTGAAATTCAGATGTCCGTCTCACACTTGTCTGATGTAACAGACATGCTTAATCAAATCAGCTTTAACTGTGCTATACATACTTAAAAAGTGCCCTGAAGCGAATTTTGTGCTTCAAGTCTGTTTTCTTAAGTATAGACACAGACCAAGGACTGAAGCTGCTGCTGTTGCTCTGCTAACATGCTGCTCTGGCTACACGGGTTGAACCTTTCAGTTGAGAGGTTAAGCAAAGGTCACGTCTTGAAGAACTCTACTGCAAGACTTAGAAGACTACAGAAAGAACTTGTGTATACACTATGCCCAGAGTCTTTGCCGACAACCAGCCTAAAGGCATGTTCATGTGTGTACATTTGAGCAGAAAAAGTGTAAAACTAAGGATTTTTAGCAATCAGTTTGATGTCAGCTTGTTTGATGTCAACTTGAAGTTCTCTGTGTAGTCCCAAATCAAAGGAGAATCAGCGTTGTAATTAGAACAACAGTCCTGCTGAAGCTTATAGGGAACTCTGTGTCAAATTTCAAATGGTTCCACAAGTCTCTAAAGTACTCTAAAAGGCAATTAACCATAATTCACAACTGCAGCTCCCTCAACTAATATTAGTAATTTACCCCCTATTAAGAGCTAAGTATTAAATTTGACAAGCTAACTTGCCTTAAGTGCTTTTGCCAAACTGAGGGATGGATAACTGCTGTGAGTATCTAGTGCTCTACAGAATTTCCATTCAAAATTATTCTGATATCCTGCACTTTGATTGGTCCAAAACATGCCATTGATTCTTTGAATCACTCTGAATAAATGCATCTGCTTTTCAAGTGGTCATTTCAAATAAAGACAAAACTATAATTTTGTGTACGGGCATGACAAAGAATTGATGTCTGTATTTGATATGTGAGTTTAGTCAACATTTAATTTGCAGAGTCTGGGTTTTCAGGGGACAAAATGTTGCTGAGTAGGCTGAAGTATAGCAAAGGAGATTATCAGAGCTGTCAGTGTAGAATATAGAAGAGCTGCTAATGTGCTGCAAGGCATGTAAATGGTTGGCATGCCAATTATGCTCCCTCTGGCGTGCAAATTTTAATGAAAGTACAGTATGGTAAATTACAGGGATTAGTGGTGATAAACTGTGGTTTTATTTGAGATAGAAGTTGTGCAGGATAATAATAAGAATGAAATAGTAAGGGGGTGATGGTTACTAAGGCAGGTAAGACAGCTAGCTATTGGTAGAAAGTGGTGGAGGAGAGATAAAGATGTCAATTTTTCACCCAGGTGCCGTTACTGCTGCTATATTACTGGTTATCTGATCAGCAGTGTGACAGGCTGTACAGGGGGAGACAAACCAACGTTTTTATCAGCACCAGCCGTGTGTGTGTGTGTGTGAATGCTGGGGCCACACTCTGAGGTACAGCTGTATTCATAGGTCTCAGAGGCAGTATCGGCAGAACATTTCCCCCTAACAAGATCATTCAGACTTCCGATGAGTTCCAAAAAACGAAACTGGTCTAATCTCAACTTGGATTCTGTTTTATCTTACCTGCATCCAAACTAATGAAGCAAAGCCTGATAGTTCAGGCAGTCAACTGGAATTGTAGTTGCCATACCTACTGGCACACAGCTCACCTGGAAGCTATGCAGCTGCTGTTACTGCTGCCGGGGATGTTCATATTGCATGTCATAAATCCTATAGGCTCTTGAGTCTACACAGAAGGAAGTAACTATCGTAACTCGTGACTTCCTGCTGGGCTGAACTTGTAGGGAGTGATTTTTCTTCTATTTTTTTGTAGTTGTATTTTTATTTATCATTTGAAGGTTACATGTCTTTGTTGTTGTCCTTGATGGGCATGATGAAGTCAAGGCCTAGATGCCAAACATCAACAATAATCATCCACTCTATGTGAGCTAGCTGACTGAACTACTGCACATCTTGAGCCCAGCCCAAGTAAAACCAATTATTTTTGCTACAACGCTAACATTAAATTTTAAAATATCAATATATATATTTTTCGTTGGAGCAACAACCAACTGCTAACTGAAAGGTCTAGATTTGTGCTCATTAATTACATATGTGGAGATGGGATCAGCATACATTTTTTATCAAGGCTAAATGTCTGAAATCCCACCAGTGATGAACAACATTAGTGCAGACTTTCCTTTTCTATCAGTAAGGTGGATTAAATGTAAAGTTTCTCTTGAAGGTCACACTAGAAGAAAAGGCCCTTGTAGTCACTAAAATCAAAAGAATTCATCCAATGGACAGTATGAATATGCTCAGATACTGTCACAGCAATCTGCCTTAAATTTTTGATTTGATCATTGTTATTTAAGACTGGGAATTTTGGTCTGATTGGTGATTTGGTCTCATTATCAAGGTATTGTGAATATATAAAGCAATACTTCTAGAATGTCCGTCCATTAGTCTTTGATACCTTGGTATGGACCAAGTGGAAATTTTGGCCTCATGGTGGAACTTACCTAAGGAAAAGTCAGGAGGTTATGAACACCCATTTAAAAGTCTGGTCAATTGTTGCTGGGAAATCTGGACCAAGTGAAAGACAGGTGAACTAAAATGGCCAACAACAAGCTTAAATCATAAAAGTAACACCATACTAAATTGTTACGAATACCATGTTAGCAAACATTTACCATCCACTAAGTTTGTCTGTCTGGTGTTTGGTCCTGGCAGGTAGTTTACAGCAGATTTATCAGAGTTTCCTTGAAATATTTCCTTGCTGTTCCTTGAAACAAGGTTGAGGAGACTGGAATTTGTGGGCTGGAAACCCAAAAACAATGAGCTAACAGAAGCTAAACTGCTCTGTAACTGAGTAAACTATAGAGCTGGTGGTAATTCTCAGTGGATGCATCACCACAATCGACTGCTTCCACACTACACATAGTCATTTGATCCAGTGTTGCTCAGAAAATATTGATTACTGGAGCTCTAACTGTACAAAGCTTGTGAAGTAGAGGCTGACACAGGCCAAACCTGTCTGGCCAGATCCAAATGGGTTCAGGTTGAGAGTTAGACTGCACAACTCATCCTTCAAATAGGTTGCTGTATAAACCAAAACACAGCTGTTGGTTATATCTGTGCACTATAAAGTAGAATTACACTAGCAAATGTTTGTTTTGCCTGACCATGTCTTCTGTCACCAGGGATAACATTAAAACTGTAAAGTAAGGTCTCTATAAAAATATTGTGTTCCAGATCATTAGCCCAGACACTGTCCAGCATTAGCTTAGGGACTGGCATCAGTCCCAGGCGCTCATACTTACAAACTGAGCAGAAGTAATAAAACCCTTGCGTGTTGTGTGCCATCAGCAATAATAATAACGCAGACAATGAGTTTCATTGACCTGCTTTGCTTATATTCTACTGACCTTGGGAGCAGAAATAAAGCTGTCACTGTGTGGTAGTTTTAATCAGAATCCGGGACCTTGAACTTTTCTTTTCTCACATTAGCTATTGTCCTTCTACTCGACTAGGGGCAAAAAACTTTGAGCTGGTTCAATTTGTCAGGCCGAGCTGGCAGGCCATTTAAATTGGTTGGACATGGGGGCATATATCAGAGGTGACACCCAGAGAATAATAGCTGTGATTCATGCCACCAACTCTCTTCCCTCACATTCTCACTTTCTTTATCTCCGTTTCTCTGGGTCTCATCTCATTGGCTTCCCACTCTGGTCGCGCTCATTCGAGCCATTCTAACCTTCCTCTCGTTCTCATCCTCCCCCTCTTTAATGGCCCGAACAGAGATACTGGGTCATTAAGAGAGTGTAGATAGGGTCTGCTTGATGAGATTGTGAAGGTTTGCTGATTGGCTTGCTGGATTGTCGTGGAGACAGATTCTGCATTTGAGATTAGTGTCTCCTCACTGTCGTATTGGTAGCACAATCAGTTATGATACAACACTTACATACGCATCCTCAACCAAGGGCAGACTCATGCCTACCTACCACCTTTGTAGTTCAGTCACACTCTGCAGTGTTTACTGCTTATACGTGAATAAGGACTAAGGAGAATGGGGCCCCCTCCTGGAGCCAGGCCTGGGAAAGGAACTCACTTGCGAGCACCTGGTAGCTAGGGCAATACCTCTGGTATGTCTGTTTGAACATACACAATCCAACATCAAATCCAAAAATGCAATGCTGTGTTTTTTACCATTGAAAACAAAACCGAAGACATGGTCACACCTCATGGTATGCATTGTACTGTATTTTCTTCATATAGATGTCAAATGTCTGATTGACTCCCTCTCTCTTTGTCTTTCTATGTCTCTCGCCCTGTGGCAGGCCAGCTCCTAAGGCTTCATCAGAGCAGGGCAGCAGCAGTGACAAGAAGGAACGTCCCATGAGCACCATGAGCGAGGCATCGAACTACACAGGGGGGTCAGACTACAGCACCTTCCCCGGCAGCCCAGCCACCACCGTCACTACCGCCACCACGACGTCCACTTCATCTACACGGGTTAGTCTCTATCTAAATATGCCTTAAATCTTAAGCATAGCCCTGGTGAGCGGTTTAATCACTGTTCTACATCAGGGCTTATAATAACATTACATTGATCAAGCATCGTTAGCAGACAGCCAAAGCTGGATATAACAGGTTAGCATTAGGGAGTGATATATTTTTCATAGCATGGTTGTGAAAGAGTGCCACCTTTTTTTATTTATCCATGCAGGTGGTCTAGCACTAGGCATGGAAATGTCTGTCGGTAGGTCTACCACTTCCAGACTGAAATATCTTAGCAGCTATTGGATGGATTGCCATGAAATCTGCTAGATATTCATGTTCCCAACAGATGAACCCTAATTATTGTATTGGCCCATTGACTTTTCATCTAGTGCCACCAACAGGTCAGAATAGATAATTGAATATCTCAACAGCTACTCTGGTTTGGCAAAAAAAATTGGTACACATTCAGGTTTCCCAGATGATAAATCCTATTGGTGATCCCCTTTGACATGTCCAGTGTGTCATGTCCAGTGTGTCATGGACTCAATATTAATAAAGCCAATATTAAACCATCAGTGCAGCCCCTAACACCCATGAAAGAGTTGATGTGTTGTTTCCATAATTCGAGTACTGGAGGTCATCATTAGGCCATTTATAATGGTAACATGCTGAGTCATCACTGCCTCCCAGCTGTCCTGGAATGTGTCCATGTTGTGTCATTACCTCTCATTTGAGGCAGGAGAAGTGGGAGCATGAAGCAGGCTACCTCAGCTGTATTAGCAGTGAGCGTGTCACCTGCACGGGTCACTGCACTGTTAGATTGAACAGCGTCTCCCTTTATAAACGCTCCGTAAACCCGCACAAACACACAGGAAATAAATATGCATGGGTAGATCAAATCAGAAGTTCTGTGCTTTCATGAATAAGTGATGCTTATACTATTATAAGTTTTGCTTACACTGGCCAAAAGAAAGTATAACACCGCATATCTTCATGTATTCATGAGAAAACATTATTTATAACTGAGCTGTAGGGGTCCTGCTCCGTGCTTCGCCTGAGAAACATTTTTAAAAAGAACAACACACAGGCTGCCTATAGAAAGAGAGGCATTTTAGGAAAAAAGGTCAAAACAGATGAGAAGAAGCTGATAATATTTCTAGGAGATGTTGCAGTGTAAATGATGCAGTTGTACATGTGTTCCTTGTCACACAGTGACAACATGCACAAACCTCTGCTAAAGTAAACAGATAACATTTGATGACAGCGACAAAGATGTAGGTTTTTGCCTTGGTTCCAGAGAATCTTAATGCTAAAATGTTATTGTCAGACAATAGTCAGTTCACAGCTTTGTGGCAACAATTTGAGGAAGGCCCTTTTCTTAATATGAAATAAAACCAGCTTCGTAAAGAAATTATTTCCCCAGTTTGGTGTGGAAGAACTTGACAGGCCTGCACAGAGTCCTGACCACAGCACCATCCAACACCTTTGGAATTAACTGGAATGCAGACTGTGAGCCAGGCCTTATCAGTTAACAGCAGTATTGGACCTCAGCAGTGCTTGTGTGTCCAACATCTAATGGAAAGACTGAAACCAGAAGAGTGGAGGCTGTTATAGCAGCAAATCAATGCCCATGGGTTTGAGTATAAATGTGGATGTAATGTTAGTGTATGTAGACACCCAGCTTTTGTCCATATAGTGCAAGTTTACATTTGTCTATCCTCACTTCTAATCTTCCAATATTACTAAGCTGTTAATATACTGTACATAGGGTTTTTAGTTCGATACCTCAGTGTACCGTCAGAAGAGGCTGTCTGGTGAAAAAAATACAGTACACCTAACCTGAGGCGTCTAAAATATGTTTTGTTGCTGCCCCTGGCAACAGCAGTACTTAGCTTCCACACTGGTACTCCTGTCTACTTCTCCAAACTGCAGGCGTGCTGACCGCAGTCTACTGTAGTTAATACACTGACAATGGATAAGTACCTCATAAAACCCCACTTCAATAAACCCAAACTAACCCTTTATTTTTTAGGAGACAGTGTTGCCTGTGGTAAACTTTTAAGTCAGGTTAACCCCCTGCTCCATAATTATCTACGGTAAATTTCATGGAAATGTGGCCGTGAAACTTACTTCTAGTGTAAAACCTTCATAATTCTTCCTATAGAGGGAACGCTGTGTAATGAAAAGATGAAACTGTAATCCAGTGGGGAGTAGTGGTCCTCAGCAGGCATTCAGATCTGATGGTGGTGCCAGATGAAAGGTCAGAGGGTCACCAAGAAATGTAAGAAACTTCACTCTAATAAGTATAACTTCGTAAATGGTTCCATAGTAATTTCTTCCTATTGGTCTTAACTTTAGACTTAATCAAGAACTCCTTGTCTCTCTCTGCTATTGACTGACATAAAAGAGATTTTTATGCTGCAGTGCTGCATTTTTCAGTAAGTGAGCCATGATGTATGGGGGATGTGGAATATGCTTTGTTTAATGAGCTGAATACATCTGCCTCTGTTGTTGCTTTTTATAGCTGCTAGAGAAGCCGCTGTTTTAGTGTACGAGCCTCTTTACAACCAATGCACCAAACACATGTCATGTCAGATTGTTGTGTTGAGATCAGGGGATATTTTGGGCTATTTTTGTCTCTCCCCACATCTCTGGAGTTCTCCCAGTTGTGTTCTCTCTGTAGGAGATGCACGATAGAAGCACAAGCCAAATGTGGGCTGTTTTTGTCTTTTTCATAGAAGTTTATGAATTATTTATTGTGACTTAATTATTCAAAAATGTGCATTTCAGTATCTGTAATGTAAATGTTTCTTCTGTCAAGCTGAATATGTCGTGAATATATATCCCATTTTCCTTATTATGTGTTTTAACAGCCCTCTAGATCTTCCAAAAAAGTTCACAACTTTGGAAAGAGGTCCAACTCCATCAAGAGGAACCCCAATGCCCCTGTGGTCAAGAGCAACTGGCTTTACAAACAGGTAACGTCAGTCAGTCATCTTGATTATAGGATATGACTGAGTTTGTCTGGGACTAAGACTGGACAAAAAGAAGACAGGTGAGGGGATATGACCAGGCATGATGAACAATAGATTCTGGTTTTATTTATTGGGAATCACCGTAGATATAATTAAGAAATACTTTTTTGGGGAAATACACTCACTCGCTTTCTTTTCAAGGTTAAGATGTTAAGAAGTTAGTCCTCAATCATTAACTACAGAGCTGGAGTCAGGACTTGGTTAGCCTAGCTTAGCATACAGACAGGAGGTAAGGGGAAAAAGCTATAAGCCATGAGTTGACAATTGTTTTTGCTCAGTAACCCAAGTCACAGATTCATCACATTATTGATTTATATTTCATACTTTAGACTTTTGAAATGTGTTTTTTCTACCGACCCTATCAGACAGCAACAGGTTCCCTTTATTTTACTGAAGTATTCAAATTCGTTCACATATTTTTAAAACCTACTCTACCTGTATGGTAATGGTGTAGTCTGCATAGTAACAGTGACATATATTAGCCAAAAATATAAATGACTCACTGTAATGGATTATGCAAGTATCACGTGTGAAGGGATGGTTTAGGGGTTGATTTAAATTCTGAAATGAAATGCTCGGAAGTTTGGGAAAATAAATTCAATAATCTAATAAAAAGCCATGACCTTGGAAAATGAAAAAGAAATGTAAATGTATAAATCTGTGGTGCATGCTGGTGCAGTCCTTCAAATCTTTGTCGTTTTAAACGAACAAGCCAGTAACTTTTTGCCTCTTTCTAGACCTCTGAATCAAATCTTGGAGTGGCACCTGGGGTTTAAAATATCAGGTAGAAGCATATTATGCATATAGTACTCATTACTCTGGCGCAAATTATGCATATGCCACTCACAATGGTGGTGGGGGGTAGCAGTGTGGGGCTAGTGCTGGAGCCAGCAACTGTATTTGCCCCCACCCCTTCTTTTTTGAAGGCTAATTTGACTTTGTCCTTGCCCGTTGACTTTGTAGGCAATAACGACATAATCTTCATACGTAGATAACTAGCTAGATAAACGCAAGTGTTACTAATAAAGCTAATTAAGGTTCCGTTCCATTCAGGTTAAACAGGGTGCTGCTACTGTGCATGTTGGCTTACTGGAACTAAATGGAACTGAACCTTAATTAGTATCTGTGTTTACCCTACTATTTCATGTCAAAATGGCTGCTGTAAAAAAGGTCTGTTGAGTGCCAAAGTGCCTGTGGGACCTGAGGAAATGGGAGGATCCTGTTCCTTGACTGGACGTTAGCTCGAGGCTCAGATTGTTCTCTCATTACCTTTCCTCCCACTCGCTGCAAGTTGAGCAATTTTCTTTGCCCCACAGAGATCTATGGGTCAATATTTCAGCTGGTCTATGGACCTCTGACCACGGCGAGACTCCCTGAAGACAGCTTCATCGAGCACCATTCAACTCAGCTTTCAGCCCCCAGTTAGAGCCACTGTCAATAACCTCCATCTCAAACCTCGGCCCCTGCGCCGCCGCTTACTGTGTTCACATGAGAGAATCAATTCACTTCACACCGGCAAAAAAAACACTGTCTCTTCCCCACAGACCTTTCAGGCAAAGTGCTCTCGCAGAAGAAATGTCATCTCTGTTTACCCAAAGCCCCTAACCTCAGGATCCATGGCCGAACGCTACACGCTGCAAACAGCGCTAAAGACCCGAATGAGTGAATGGTCTCGAAAAACTTATTGTCGCTGCAGTAATTACGGCACCAGGGAGAGAAGGAGAAAAAAAGGAGGAGAGCAGCAGTGTAGAGAACAAAGCGCAGGCCCTCGCCCCGAGCACCACAGAGGCAAATTTCTCACTACGTTACGAAGAGATAAAACAGAGCAATTTGTCTCAGAGGAGGAGATAGAAGCTGGTTAATAGAAGCAGCCAGAGGGAGAGACAGCGAGGGTGTCAAGAGGAGGGAAGTGAGGGGAGATCAAAAGAGAAGAAAAACTGTGTGTGTGAGAGAGAGAGAGATGGTGTATTGTTCTCTGTAATAACTACACTTTGACTGACTGATGGCCTGTGACCTTTGACCCCTGCAGGACAGCACAGGCATGAAGCTGTGGAAGAAGAGGTGGTTTGTTCTGTCCGACATGTGCCTCTTCTACTACCGCGGTGAGTGAACACACACACACACACATGCAGGATGAAATAATTTAGTATGTTTGATTGTCAAATCAAAAGCAATTCACAGTGAGAGAGTCCATGTTTTGTTCAAGGACAATTTACTATTTCAGGGATCATATCTTTCATGTTTGAAGACAATCCCATGTTAAACTCTTTTCAAACATACAGACATTACAAATTCAAGGAAAACTCCAACCTAACTGATCTGTATCTGTTGCAGTTTTCAGTTTTCTGTTACATCACGTCATCACTTTCTAAATGTGCTTCACAATAAATCCATTTTAATGCAATGGCAGAGGTTGGCCTTTGTTTTTGAAACTGCAAGTGCTGACATTACCATAAAATGACCAAAACATTGAAAAAATAGATTTTTCTTTATTGGGTAGCTCACAGGGATATGTCTTAAATATTTTTTGCTATTTGTATTGCCTTTAATGAATAGTGACAGCTGTAGAGTGACAGGAAAGGTTAAAGATTTCTAATATGCCAGGCTGAGTTTAAAGTAATTCCATACGAAGGGTTAAATTACAAAAACATTTTGCCATGAAGCTGTGCTTTGAGTTTGAAATATCTCCCATAGAAATTTCTGCCTCCGCCCCAGTGCACTGAACAGATTTTGTGGTGCTCACATCTCTGAAAAAGTACAGCGACCGTTGTGCTGATCTCATATAGCAGATAACTTACATGAGACACTGCCACTGTTACTGTTCTTATCTCTCAATCAAGAGCAGTGTGAAATTGAGAACCAAGAGGTCAAGTGTCCCTGCCTGTTAAAAATAGTCGTCCTTGCTTCCACCCACACTGGTGATGCCCAAGCTGCAGGACCGCTAATTTCGAACTTCACATTCACAAAAGCTCATCTGTGTTCCTCCTCCGTGTCTCCTAAACCCTTGAGGGAGACTTTTCCATCTCCATAAATTGACAAATTAGCCGCTCCCAGAGCGCAATCAGCAGCCGCTTTCATGAAAAACCCAAGGGAAAATTGGATGTTTATTGGCTTAGCCAGCCGGGGACAAGAGAGAGGAGGCATCCTCGGGAAGGACAATGACGTGCTCGGCTTTCCGATAATAACCTCTTCTTTTTCCATTTTTCTCCTGCTTGCTCTATCACTTTATTCTAATGTAGTTTGGAGTTGGACTTAATTCTTTTTGTATTAGCAGGGACAATCAGCGTCCCTCCCACCGCAAATCTTGTTTAGATGAATTCATCCAGTGTGTTTACATGCACCCTAATAATTTGATTATTACCGCAGTGAGGCAGGACACTGATGATTAAAGCTGTCATGTAAACATAATACATAAAGCACGTTATCTTGGTCATCACAGTGTGTGGCAGTACAGCTTGATAAGCAGATCTGGATTCATGGTCGGTGAGAATGAGGGTGGAAAGAGAGTACTTTACTTAAAAGTCCAGTGTGTAACATTGAGGAGGATCTATTGTCAAAAATGGAATATAATAATATTTTTTCAGGGGTAAGGAAATTATTACATGGTCCTTCTCTTTATATGTTTAAAGTGGAACAAAGAACACATTTACAGTACAAAATAAAGTACTTTCACGTGTCATATACAACATTTCTAATGTGTATGATATAATGACTGGGTAACAAGGGTTTGTCTCCTAAGCCAGTTCAAGAGTATTGATTAGGGGCCAAACTGTCTTTTTGCACTTGAATTTGAAGCTGTCCTATCATATACAGTAATCTGATAGAAATTTAGTTAGCTCCGTAATGTTCCCAGTTTTCTCTATATTTGTACCGTTATTATTTGCACATTTATCAAGTCAAGTCAAAGTCAGCTTTATTGTCAAATATGCTATACATGCACGACATGCAGCACAGATGAAATTTCAGTCCTCTCGGACCCACGGTGCAAGCAGGCAATAAATTAAGAAATTAACATTTTCAGGTATAAGACGACATTTATCTTTCATTTAAGTATTGCAACAAGATGCCCATGGCTTTTAACTAGAAAAGAAAGAGAGAGCACATCAGCCCGGTTTTAGCCAACCTGCACTGAGTATCTTTTAGGGTTGACTAAGTTTGTTTACTGTTTTACAAGGCCAACATTACAAGTTCATTGTCGGTTTATAATCCTTCACAGCCTCTTAGATCTGCAGTGGTCAGTTTTTTAAATACAAACTGTCACAAATATAAGAAAATCCATGGAATTCCAGTTATAATGCCTGTCATTTACTTATTTTCTTGTCTCTTCTCTCCTTTGTAAAGCACTTTGAGTTACACCCTCTGTATGAAAGGTGCTATATAAATGGAAAAAAAGCTGTTGGTCCCTACTGGGCTGCTGCACTTTTACAAGCAGAGATAAATAAGCACAAAGTTCATGAAAAACTCATGAAAATCACGGCAAAATAACATAAAAGAACTCTTCATAGCCTTCGCACTGCAAAAGAAATAGACTCCACTAGTATTATACTGCATGACACTGTCAGCATGAATGCCTTGCAACCTGTCCGTTCCAACCACAGAATGGGTTTCCGCCATATCCAACACTGCCCCCAACAGTCTCCAGCTACTGGATTACAACTCACAAGAAAAAAACATGTGCACACACATGATTATCTTGTTCAACAATGTTATCACCTTGTGGGGACAAGTTATTATCTTTAAATAACTTAGCTAATATCTAATGAAAAAATAGATGCCCTAGTCTAACAACAAATAGTAAGTAGTAAGTTAATCTCTGTGTAATTAACCAGAATTATCATTTAATCAAGCGTGTGTCTTTATCTAAGCAATCACAATTACAGTATTTATGTAGACACACTGTTTGTGGTCAGGAACTTAACTGAACCAACAGACAAACCTCAGTGAACCTGCTGAAGAATCTTGAAATGTCAATCGTTCTTAAAAAGCTTTCTTAAAAGAAAACACCCTCTGCTGCAGAGTATACCCACAGCATCTCTCTGCACGCCCGCTCACTCATTCCCTCTCTTTCTTTCTCATTTTATGTGTGTTCTGTATCTCAATAATTCAGCAGTAGGGATGGGGCCGGAGGAGCTGCAGGGCTCACCGTGCGGGGCTCGTCTAAAGCAAACAGCAGCACTGGCTGGAGGCTCTGTAGGTTTTTGCTGCAGCTGGAGCACCATATGTGTTTTCTGCCTTTAGTTTTCAGCCTGGAAGCTCCCATCAAAGCTTCATCGCGCCGTACGGAGCACAGTCATTACCCTCCCAACATGGCTCAGCTCAGATTGTTGTTGCAAGGCTTTTTTTAAATGTGGCATCAGTAAATATTGACTCAGTTAGACGACTGTAATGCATTCATGGCTGCGTTTCACATCTTTTGTGTTTTGCAGCTGTTTTGCCTCTGAAATGTGAAAGACAAAAATCAACAGAAAGCAGTGTTTGTGTGTGCTGCAGCCTGAGTCTGTCCTCAGCTGTGTGTCTGTGTGTGTTCCACACTGTTGACCACACATAGGGATGGAAACAGGATCTTAGTTCACACGGAAAGCTGGCCAAGCTCATAAGGATGCCCTATCTTCCCATTCTCTCTCTGTCTCTGTCTCGCCATGGTCTGATAAGCCTCAGTAGGTTTTGTTCCGTCACCCTTTGTTAGTCATTCATCACACAGTTGGCTAGATAATGCTAGACCTCCGTGTTCACAAAATCAAAGGCAAGACTTGACAAAAATGTTCCAAATCCTTAGGACAAGTCTGGAGACCATGAACAAGAGCATCATTTTCATTGGGGATGCATGTCGCCCTCACCTTTCAAAGTCCTATTTCATTCACCCAATGGAGCTTTATGGCAAAATTCCACCAGGCATGGATTTATGACCCTTATGTCTGCGATGTGGTTTGGCTCCATTATCTGCACGTGGCACAATATCGACGTAGCGTGAAGTTCGACCCGGTCTTTATTTGAAAATGAAGCGCATTCTCTATAACGTTTCTGTGTCTGAACTCCTGCTATTCCGATCTGCTCTGTGCCGCTTGACACAGTTGACTCCCGCAAGTTGACACGCTTTATTAGCTTTAATAAACAAAATAAACACACAAAATGTGAAGAAAGTAAATATTATAACACGTATTATTAAACAAAAATATACAACCATACCTTCTAAATATATGTTTCTCTATATTACCAAATGAATACTAGCTTCATTGCCTTGTTAAGTCATTGCTGTTTTCTCTCTCACTTGTTCTTTCGCTCATTGTGTACTGGGTCGCTCGTCAAAAAATCAACCGGTGATGGCCTCATAGACGATGAATTCGTGCAATCGCCCAACTGTAATATCAAGCAACCCCGCGTTCTATTTGATATGTGATTTGACCTCAATCAACCAAACTTAAGTCAAACCAAAACTGAATATTCAGTGTATATACAGCCTAATGTGATACTGATGAATCCTCATTGATCCTCTGTCCACTGATCCTACACCAGATTCACTTAGTTCAGTGCAGGTCGATGTGGCAATGCAAATGTCAAATATGTTGACTTTATGACTATTTCCTTATTCTTTCTTCTCTGGTGCAGATGAGAAAGAGGATAGCATCCTGGGAAGTATCCTGTTGCCCAGCTTTCACATCTCCATGTTGTCGGTGGATGACCACATCAGCAGGAAATACGCCTTCAAGGTAAAAGCTTAAAGGTCACGTCAAGTTATTTTTTTGGCCTTTATGCCTTTATTGATAGAAACAGCTGAAGATTGACAGGAGAGGGGGGCAGAGAGAGAGGG